CCACAGCGTCCCACCCTCCAGAAAATAAGTATTTGCCTGAACCCTTCCGTCTGGTCAGATGGCTATGCTGAGCGAGGCCAGGACAACTTCATCAAGGAGCGCCGCAGCAGAGCGCGCCCGGTTGCTTTGGAGGAACGAATCCAAGCGATGCAGCACGAGGTCCTGGCGCAAGACCCCGCGAGATCACTGCGAACTCAGGGCAGTGGGGTTCCAACCATGTGTCTTTTCAAGGACCAGCGTTTTGGGGGTTTGTAACAGGCACGGCCACTACCTTACAGCCTCAGCCCTAAGACCCTGAGCCCTCTTTCTGAGCAGGAGTCCTGCAGGGCCACGTTGAAAGCCGCAGCATCATCGATCTTGCCCAAGACCAACTCCTGAACTGCGCATGGCTCAAGGCACTCCTAAACGGGGCCCCTTGAACACTAAGCTTGACGAGAACCCGAAATCCCAAACCATTCATTTTTTCGAGGCACGGTTGTCTTCAAGGGACCCTTTTTCAGGTTCCACCGGGTAGAGGGGATTAAGGGACCCACCAGCAAGAGCTAAAGTTACTACAGGGGCCTACATGATTCCCAATATCATTTTGAGGTCCATATGAGGTACCATAGACCATAATCATATACGGAATATGGAACCATAATATCGGTAACTATTTAGGGCCCTATGTTACACTCCCATACATGCGGATTCTGGCCTTCAGGCTTCTGAGTCGCTGGTGCGGGCTCATTCTCTTAAGCCCTGCAGACCCAAAATCCTGAACCCTAAACATACAGTAACCTTCAAACCTAATAAACCCGTTGCAGTCCATAAATCCTCAATCCTAAACCCCATAATCTTAATCACCCTAAACCCTAAAACCCTAAACCCTTAGACCCTGTCCTTGTCTGCGGGAAAGGAGGCCTCAGCTTCGAGGACGTCCAGCCGGGCCAGCCGGTCCAAACAAAGATCCCGAGCCTTGGCCAACAGAAGCGTTTAGGGTTTAGGGTTTTTTATGCGAGGGCGCGCGCTCGGGCGTGAATCGCCCCGGGCCGCGCACTCGCGTTGCCTGTAAACCCCCTCCGGCCACCCAAACTATACTCTAAAAGGTTTAGGGTTTACGTAATCACTTCTTCTGCACGTACTTAGATGACGAAGTGTAACGAGCACACTGTGTTACTTGGTTCCATTGAATTCCTTTACTTAGATGACGAAGTGTAACGAGCAAACTGTGTTACTGGGTTCCATTGAACTTTTTTTCTTAGATGAGGAAGTGGAACGAGCAAATTGTGTTACTTGGTTCTGTTCCATCCGAAGTCATGGGCTTCATTTGTAATAACTGGAAGTTTGCTAAAGCTGACTATCTTGGGCAAGGGGGAGCCTTCAGCATGCAAGACCCCGCATGGGTTCGGAACCAAAGACTGCCAAAAATGACCGATTATCTCGGGCATCCGCTCCGGTTGGGGGTAGTTTGCAGGGGCCCGAAACCAACGCGCGTCAGGGGAGCCTTCAGATTGCCCCAAAGGTTTCGGCCTCTGGTGAAAGGCCTTGTCGGAGAAGAGGTTGTTTCTCCAGACTTGATTTGCGCATGTCAGCGAATTGAAGCGGGAAGGTGCCTAGAAGCCATCTGGCCCATTATCTCGGGCATCCGGTTGGGAGTAACCGGCAGAGGCCCAAAACCAACGGGCGTAGGGGAGTGGTTCCATGCTGGTGATGAAGTGAAGATTTGGAGTAATGAAGCCGGAATGCGCCTGGCTGATTATCTGGACCATCTGCCCCTTGTAATTAGCTTGCAAGGGCCACAGGCTGCAGGCCGTAGCCCCCAGACATCTGAGGCCCCCGCACGTCTTGGGGGGGGCGGACGTCTGGGGGAAACACTAAAAACCCTAAATCCCAAATCCTAAGCCCTGAGCGCCCTCCAGAGCAAATGGCCCAGGCTTTGGGGTTAATCTTTACTAACGTAAAGGTGGTCTGGGTTCGGCCATCCCCTATAGGAGTTCTGACGTTGTCGTAAACAAGGCTGCTCTTGTTGGCCTGTCCAGGTCAGACGGTGAAGTTTTACCCTCACCTTTGCGTCTCTCTTTTCGTATGGGCGCTCAGGCTGTGAGGCCCTGGGCCAAGCGTTCGGGGTCTGTTCGTTCGACGGTAGCGACCCCTCTCTTAGTTTAGGGTGTAAGGTTTTAGGGTTTAGGGCTTTAGCATTTAGGGTTTAAGGTTGAAGGTTGTAGGGTTTAGGGGTTTTAGGTTTTAGGCTTTATGGAGGATTAAATGGTCTTATAGGGGTTTTGAAGTTTAGGGATTTCAGAGTTCGGGTTTAACGGTTTAGGGGTTAGGAATTCAGGGGTTTTGGGGTTATGAACCCTAAGCCCTGAACTAGTGAATTAGGGTTCTAGAGCTTTGGGGTTAGGGGTTCGGGCTTTTGCCGTTTGCACGGCGAACAGCATAGCAAAGCATGGGGGCTAGGGGTTTAGGGTTGCTGAACATCGATATACTCACCCTTCCCCTCTGTCAAACACCCCCACCCCCACCATAGAATATGTCTACTACCAGGGGCTGGAAGCTTTCTTGACTATGTTTCTATGATAAGGTTGGTGATGTTAGTATGTAGATGTGGGGCTTGCAATATTCTCAAAAACAATTCTGAAACCTGGCGCAGCAGCTGCCACCGAGTGGATTTTGATGGCCTGGCGGATTTTGTGTGTGCTTTCTTTTTAAAGCTGTCGTGGATTTGGCCCATAACAAATCCCAGAAGCGCATACCTGCAGCCTCGACCTGCGAACCCCGAACTTGTAAATGCAAGATCTCGTTCCGGGAGAGCTTACACGCCATACTCGGGCTTAATTTATAGTAGTTCCACTCGACACGACATGGGCCAAGCCCAATGACCCCTTTGGCACTGAGGCAAGAACCTGTGGCAAATGTAGTTCGTGAGCTTTGTAGAGCTCCGCCAGGCACCATACCCTTGTCAGGAGCGAAAAATCAGCCTCGCACACAGGGAGCTCCTAGTCCCCAAATACGCCCTCTAGCCCTACGACTTCCAGATCTTTGAGGGCTCAAGGCTTGGGGTCCAGGAGTGTAGGAGGCCAAACGTGGGATACAGGCTGGTGGTCTATTTGTTTCGTTCTTGTCCCTCCTTCCTCTTCTCCTCCTCTCTTCCTGTTCTTCTGCTTACTTTTAACCTCTCGATACGTAAATCACACACACTTGAACCTAAAATTGCCCATCTACCGACACAGCAAACGGCAAGCCCATTTCAAGTACATACAACCATGCAGAGACACGGGATCATTTCGGCTTCTACCCACACTCATAGACCCTAAACCCCAACATCACCGAAGCCCTCTGTTGTTACTATTTCTAGTATTCCTATTACGATTCTTACTGTTTGTTCTTACTACTCTTATGACAGTAATTACTATGATTGCTGTTGTTATTACTATATAGACTCTAGCCCTATCAGCTTCAAGTCCTACACCCCAAATCCCACATCCCAAGCCAAACACTAAACCCCTAAACCCTAAACCCCTAAACCCTAAATCCCTAAACCCTAAACCCCTAAATCCCTAAACCCTAAGTGCTAAACCCTAAATCCCCAAACCCTAAATCCCTAAACCCTAAACCCCTAAACCCTAAATCCCTAAACCCCTAAATCCCTAAACCCTAAGCGCTAGACCCTAAATCCCCAAACCCTAAATCCCTAAACCCCTAAACCCTAAATCCCTAAACCCTAAACCCTGAACCCTAAATCCGAAAAAAA